AACCATCCCCATCCCTGTCCCCATCCCCATCAGGGGGGACAACGAGGACACCGGGATGCCTGACACCCCCTCCCTGTGTGCCCAGCACTGCGTTGATGTTGTCCATGTCGCCGGCCGCCGGCCCTTTGGCCAGAACATCATCAGCATCTACGCGGACGGACACCTGTGGAAGACGGCTCAGCTTCGCTTCCCATCCCTCCACGAGGTGGGGGACACCCCCGGAACCCAGCCAGACCCCTCTCCCCATGGCATGGTGTTGGAGGGGCCAAGCATGACTCCTTCTCCCTTCCAGTCCTTCACCTCCTGCTGCATCGGCTCCGCGGGCCACCGGACCACCACCACCACTGCCACCACTGCCGGCCACCCACCAACATCCCACGGGCCAGAGCTGGTCTTCCCTCCGCGCCCCACACTCGGACGCTCCCAGTCCGTCCCTGCCACCTTGGGCCCCCATGCTTGGACTCCTACTCAACCCCCCACCGAAGGGGTAGTGGCCATGCAGCCGGCAGCCAGGACACCGAGTGGGGCAGCCCCACCTCCCTGGAGGGTCACCTGGGCTCCGTGGCCATCTTCTGCGAGGCTCTGCAGCAAGCCCAGGTCAAGGCACTCTTCTGTGCGGGTACGTCGGGGAGGGATGCAAGGGACAACCAGGGTCTCCCCCACCATGCCCCAGCTCACCCCAATGCTCTTCCCCCAGGGCCAAATGTCACATCACCGTTCACGCTGGAAGGTGACTTGGTGGAGCTCAGCAGCAAGCTCTTGCTCTACTACACCCCACAGGTGAGGAGAGCCACCACCCGGGGGACGGGGACAGCACTGGTAGACCCTCTACCATAAGCGACATCTCCAGGAGCGTGAAGATGCTCCCATGGTGCTCTCTTCTAGGCCTGCAGGAACAACATCTGCCTGGACCTCTCTCCCAGCCATGGCTTGGATGGGAGGCTGACGGGGCATAAGGTGGTCAACTGGGACATCAAGGTATGCTGGGTGCAGGGTGGTCTGTCCTGGCCCATCCGCCCCATGGCATGGACACAGCTGGGCTCTTCCTGGGATACAGCGCAGGAGCAGGACCCCCACAGGGTGTTGTATGGTCATGGTGGTTCCTCTGGGCTCTACAGGAACTCTACTACATGATCTTGGGTCCACCAAACACCTGCATGACCCGTGGGTCCCCTACGGGCCTGTCTGCCCTGTAGGTCCCCAGTGTCCAGAGTGGGCACCGTGGGTGGTCATTGCAGGGGAACAGGTGCTTTTTGGGGACCTGTTTTAGGTTTGTGCTGTAGGATGGGTCTGGGCACACCCCAGTCTTTGCTAGGAACAGGGTCAGGCTCTTCCCAGCTTGAGCTGAGCCCATGAGCCGGCAGGATGGACCCTGTGTGCGCGCGCACCCTCCTCCTCTGCGCTGCCGTCACCACACAGCACCCAGCAAAGCCTCTCGCCTCCCTCCGGCAGGACGTGGTCAACTGCGTGGGTGGGATGGGCGTGCTGCTGCCTCTGCTGGAGCAAGTGGTGTCCAAGAAGGAGGAGCCCGAGGACGAGCAGGAGACCAATGACCTGGTGGGACCAGAGCTGACGTCCTCCAGGAACGCCCAGGGCATGCTCATCCCGCTGGGCAAGTCCTCAGGTGAGGACCTCGGGGGATGTGGAGCAGGAACCGTCCTGCTCGGGTGGCTGGAGGTGATCCCGCTGCCACGTGGGTGCTGCCTGGAGCAGGCTGGTGTCTACCAAGAGTTATAGGGGAACGGAGAAACCGTTAACGTCTTTTAATGTTGTTATGACCCAATCAGTCATAACGAAACAGTTTTGGGAAGATGAAGGTGGCTCCAGCCTGCTTACCTCCAGCTTGCCTTTGTGTGGAGTCTCTGGTGTCTTGTAGTAGGACTGGGCTCACACAGGAGCCTTCTCCTGCATAGGTGACACAGGCTTTCTCCCAATGCCCACTTCCTTATTTCCAAGCTCGGAGAAACAGAAGTTTCCACTCACGTAAATTTGGGGGAAATAGGAGAAAGGGCTGAAAAGTTTGCGGAGAAAGGTTGACAGTGTCGTCTCCAGGATGCCCTGTGCTGGCAGGAGGTGGCCGGGTGGGCGCAGGGCTCACAGCTCCCGCTGGGGCTCTGCCCTGTGCCTTGCAGAGAGCAGGCTGGAGAGGAACAGCGTGGCCGCCTTCCTGCTGCTGGTGAAGAACTTCATCCAGAACCACCCGGTGAACCAGGAGAGCTTGGTGCAGTGTCACGGGCCGGCCATCATCGGGGCGCTGCTGCAGAAGGTGTTGGGGGGCTACCCAAGGGCTCCTTCCCACGGTCCCCAGGGATGTTCTCCAAGGGGGATGCCGGGGCTGCAAGGCTCCCCTTTCGCCCATGGCAGGTCTCCGGGCCGCTGCTGGACATGAGCACGTTGATGGCCTCGCAGATCCTCATGGAGCAGGTGGCCTCCGAGGGCAGCGGGCTCCTGCTGCACCTCCTCTACCAGCATCTCCTCTTCGACTTCCGCATCTGGAGCAACAGCGACTTCGCCGTCCGCTTAGGTGGGATCTGGAGGTGCTTGGAGGTGTTCTCCATCCCAACCGACCTCCGTGGCCACTCACACCTTCTCCTTGCAGGTCACATCCAGTATCTGGCCAACGTCGTCAAGGACCACAAGCAGCGCATCCGCAAGAAGTACGGGGTGCAGTATGTCCTCGACTCCATCCGGGCGTACTATGGGTGAGCTGCCGCTTGTAGCCACGACCCCCGACCGCTGACGCGATGGTGGGCTTCACCCCTCGGAGCTGCCGTTTGGGGTAGACACCCTTTGCTTGGGGCAGTATCTCCCCCCTGCAAGCACCTCGTGGGAAAATCTCCTGGTGTGGGAGCATGGTGGTGGGTGCAGGACCTTCTACTCCCTGTGGCCGTGCCCCGTCCCCAAGCCTCCACCCACAGCTGTGACTGGTCAGCCCCAAAATCCACCCCCAGGACCTCTCCAGCATGGTGGTTTCTGCAACAACCCGATGCCCTTTTCTCCTCTGACCCGCTGCAATCCCACACACCCGCAGCACTGGGGGTGCTTGTGGCCCTGCAGAGACCTAGACATGTGGGGTGGACATTTCCCAGTGGGTCGAATTGGCCAAGAAGGGATGTCCACACTGGGTTGTCCTGGAGCTCCTCAGGCTTCATGGTGGGATTTGGGATCATGCTGGTGACAAGGGGCAGGAGGGTGGCTGTGCACGTCCCCAGCGAGAATGCCCATGTCCATCTGTCTCCCAGCACCTCCAGGGAGAAGACCACGGCCACTGATGACATCAAGACAGTGCAGACGTCCCTCTTCAGCCTGGTGAAGGACTTCTTCTGCAGGAGCTTCTCTGGGGACGAGATGCAGAGCTTGCTGAGCTACGTGGCTGGGGCGCAGGACGAGCAGCAGGTATGGCACCGAACCACCCTGGTCCCCAAACATCTCCATGTGCCATGGGCTAGCCTGGCACTCAGCAGCAGATGAGGAGACACTGCTGAGGTCCCGGTGGGGCACATGGAGGGCAGTGGACAACAGGTCCCATGTCCCACAGGTCTGCGGGGCGCTGGAGGTGATCCACAGCCTGCTGAAGGGTTCGCCTGCCCAGGAGCAGCTCTTCGCCTTCCTCTTTGAGCCGGGCCACGTGGAGGTCCTCTTCTCACTGCTGGTGCAGAAGAAGTTCTCGGATGAAGTGCGAGAGAGGGTCTTCAAGGTAAGGCGGGTCCCCAGCGCCAACGTCTTGCCATCTCCAGGGGCTGGGGGCTTTGCCACAGTGGGGTGGCCGCTCTTCTCTGTCTCACCAGATCCTCTATAAGATGCTGAAGTATGAGAAGGTCTCCGAGCGCAGCAAGAACCGCCTGCAGCTG